TAAAGTGGATAAATACACAGTGATAGGTTCATTCAACGAAACACTATATAGCAATGAAAATAAATATGCTCTACCTATGTGCAACCACATGAATGAATTTCACAAACAAAGTATCGAGTGAAAGAAGCCAGGCACAAATGAGTAAATGTAGTGTGAGTCTATTTACATAAAGTTCAAAAAACAGTCAAAATATGACCAGACCGGTGGGGCAGCAGTTAAGTATGCACGTTCCGCTTCAGCAGCCCGGGGTTCACCAGTTCAGATCCTGGGCGTGAACCTACACACCACTTGTCAAGCCATGCTGTGGTAGGCGTCCCACATATAAAGTAGAGGAAGATGGGCATGGATGTTAGCTCAGGGCCAGTCTTCCTCAGCAAAAAGAGGAGGATTGGCAGCAGATGTTAGCTCAGGGCTAATCTTCCTCAAAAAAATAAATAAATAAAAATTAAAAATTTTTAAATTTTAAAATAATTAAAAAATTTAAAAACCAGGCAAAATATAGTGCTTAGGAACACAGCTCCTTGGTGTGAGGCAAGGACATAATTACCACAACTTCAGGAAGCAGTTACCTCTGAGCATTAGAGAAGAGGTAAGTGATGGGAGGAAAGAGGGGAGCTCCTACCCCCTGACCCAGGCAGTTGTCACCAAGTGTCAACTCCTGATAAATCACAGAGGCAAACTGGATGTCTTTGTGCACTTATGGATTTCAAAATTTTTAAAAAGTTTTGTGGATATAAGGATGGGCACGGCTGGGGAAAGGAGTGAGAGGAGTGGACGAGCACGAAGCAGAAGTTGCTAAAAGGAGGAAAGTGGAAGGTCGCGTGGAAGAGTTGCTGAGTGTCACTCATAACCCACCCGCTGTTAGAGAGCACGCGGGTGTTATCAGTGTGTGTGTACGGGTGTGTGTGTCTTTGTATGGGTGGATGTGTGTGTGTGTGTGTGAGTGCAGGTGTAGGTGTGTATGTGTGTACATGGATGTGGGTATAGGTGTATATGTGTGTATATGGATGTGTGTGGGTGTAGGTGTGTATGTGTACACATGGATATGTGTGGGCGGTGTGTGTGTGGGTATAGATGTGTATTGTGTACATGGATGTGTGTGGGTGAGTGCGGGTGTAGGTGTGTGTGTGTGTACATGGATGTGTGTGAGTGTGGGTATAGGTGTGTATGTGTGTACATGGATGTGTGTGTGTGAGTGTGTGTGTACATGGATGTGTGTGGGGGGTGTAGGTGTGTGTGTGTACATGGGTGTGTGTGGGTGGGTGTGAGTGTGGGTGTAGGTATGTATGTGTATACATGGATGAGTATGAGTGCGGGTGTACGTGTGTATGTGTGTACATGGATGTGTGTGTGTGAGTGTGGGTGTGTGTGTCTGTACATGGATGTGTGTGGGTGAGTGCGGGTGTAGGGGTGTGTGTGTGTGTGTAGATGGATGTGTGTGAGTGTGGGTGTGTGTGTACATGGATGTGTGTGTAAGTGTGGGTGTGTGTGTGTTTATGGATGTGTGTGGGGGGGTGTGTACATGGATGTGTGTGGGTGAGTGCAGGTGTAGGGGTGTGTGTGTACATGGATGTGTGTGAGTGTGGGTGTGTGTGTGTACATGGATGTGCGAGGGTGGGTGTGAGTGGGGCATGAGGGTGTACGGGGCTGTGAGAGAGATTCTCTTCAGCATCAGTGAGGAGACCTGATTGAGGGGTGAGGACAAAGGATCATATGTGGTGGAAAAACAAGAGGCCCGGAGGTGAGCAGGGTCAGAGCCTCCGAGTGTCAGGGAGATAAGGGGTCACCAGGCCAGGCTGGCGACGAACGCAGCACCTGGAGATGCACCACGGGCGCCCACACCTGTCGAAGCAGACGGCCATCAGCAGGACTCTCAGGCTGTCGCTACCAAACTGGCCCTGTCTCCCGACGGCCAAAAGTATGTGTCTAAACCAGAACAAAGTCGTTCTTACCCATGTTCCCAAAAACTTTAAGAATTTCAAAGGTAAAATAAACATTTATTTTAGAAATAAACAATGAAAATTGAAAATCAAAGTAGGCCAAGTGTTTCCCAGGCAGCAGGCCTGATCTGCTACACATTCCTGGTGTCTGGTTTCAACTAGGCACTCACTGCAACTTGGCAAAGCTTTTCTTCCTTTCTCGTTGCTTTTTGGCACATTCCACGCCACTCCACCCTCTGCGAGCGGGGGGTTCTCCTCCCATCTTCTCTGCCACGGCCCCCCCACCATGCCGCTTACCAGAGGCTGCAGACGTGAGGTGGGCCCGTTCCAACCTCAAATGCCTCCTCCTTAGCACCCTCGTCTGTGCCTATCTTCCGGCCGGTCTGCCCTGTCATCAGAGATGTGCTGGCCTGAGAAGAACCAGGACTGGGCAAGTCCCATGAGGTCTGGGGAACAAACATGGCAAGGGGCCAGCCAGGGACCAGCAGCTGGTAGAGAAGTCTGAGCTGAGACGCACAGGCTGGCTGAGATTTGAACAGTGAGCACCAAGTCAGGAGCAGGCAAAGCAACATTAGAGTCAATCCAGCAACGGAGCCAGAGGTCCGAGGCCCAGGAACCCAATACCGTGTGGGAGCATGGCATGGGAGTTCAGAGCTTGAGCCTTAGTGTCAGATGGTACTGGGTCCGAGTCCTGATTGTGGCATCTGCCACCCACGTAACTTTGGGTTAGTTACTGACCTCTCTTGGTCTCACTTTTCTCTGGCAAAGTGGGCACTGGATGAGCACGTGGATGGGATGGGGGTGGGCATGGGATGAGGAATGGGATGGCGATGGGGGTGGGCATGGGGATGGAAATAGTGATGACGATGGGCATGAGTTTGGGGCTGGAGCGATCATGGGCAGAAGTGAAGACCCACGGGCCAGGCAAGCCTTCAGGTGTGAGAGGCTGATTCATCTATGTCCTAAAAGATCCTGAGCTCATCAAAGGCAGAGCCCAGCTCCTGGCCGAGGCTTGGCCCCTGGCAGGAGTCAAATGAGGACACGCAGGGCACACGTGCAGGAACAACATTATCCGCCTCACTTGAATGTGTGCTGCCTCTTCAGTCTGCTGCTTTGCTGGTGGGATCTCATTTCTGACAGTGACACACCGGATGCTGGGAGTATTAGCAACTTCACAGCTTGGCAACAAGTCCTGGGACGGAGAGCGGTTGTGCGGACATGCATTTTCTGCTCTTGGTCCCACCCTCCTCATGCCTCTCCCCTTCAGCCTCGCTCTGCCTCCTCACCAGCATTTTCATAATGTTCCGTCTCCATCGCCCCCTCCCTTTCTGCTTTTAAACATTCCCAAGTCTCCCTTCCTCTAAAAAATTCCTCCCTTGACCCGAAGCTTCCCTCATTTCTATTTTTCTCCTTTTCTTTGCCAAAATTCCCCTAGGGAGCGGCCTGTACCAGCTGTGGCTCTTTTCCTCGCTCCCCAAGGCCCTGCAGCCTGGAGTCCATCCTCAAAACTACGACTGCCTCTGGGCAGGAAGGAGCAGAAGGCACAGCCAGCGGGGGCTCTAGATGTGCAGGTGGGCAGGCACACACACACACAGATGCACACGCGGAGACACACACACAGACACAAACACATACACAAGCACATGCGCACACACAGATAAATACAGAGACATACACAGAGACATACAGCCATGCAGATAGACACAAACAGAGAAATGCACAAATACATACACACACAGACACCAACATACAAACACACACACACACACTAACTAACCCATTCCAATATGGCAGCCAAAGGGCTCTCAATTTGATTAGAGATGAGGAGGAACCCCAGGGCCAACCATTGTTCAGCTTGAAGACCCCTGATGGTGGCAGCACCAGGAGGGCAAAGCGAGGCTGCTAGAATCGATTCGCCTAGAGGTGGATCCAGGTTGCATGGGGCCTGAACGTTCCATGACTGGGGGGGAAGCCGTCTTTGTACCTTGCACAAGCCCCAGCCATAAGCACTCGGAAGACATCCATGAAATAATGTCAGCTGAGAAGGAGGGAGACAAGTGCTTGCCAGGAGTCCAGGAGGAAGTCTGTGACCTCGGGCCCCAGAAGGTCAACTGTGCAGGAAGCAGCTCTCTGACCCCAGGCCAGTCAGTGACCTCTCCCAGGCAAGTGGCAGAGTCTGCATCAGAACCGGGACCTCTGGCTGCCCGTGTTCTCACCCTTCCTTGCCCTTCTGCTCCTCTCATACCAACTCGATGCAGCTCGAGCAAGTGCAAAACCAGAGCCGCCAGCGTGGAGAGTGTGGCCTCCGGGGTCTCAGGCCACCAGAAACACCACCTGGGGTGGCTGCCTGGGTGCTGGGCCCAGCCTCCGCCAAGCAGCAGCAAGAAGGGGAGCGCCTCCTCATCTGTAGACAGTTTCCTCTCCCCCTTCCCCCATCTACACCACAGCTCCTTCGTTGCCCATAAAGTTTACTAATTGTTGTTTTTATTTACTGACACCTTTTATTCCTTGTTCTTAATTATTTTTAAATAAGCAACCTGAATACTCATTACTCCTTTTTAAAAAAATCTATTGTCCATGTGACTCTTCATAATCTTCTTCCCTAAGGGTTCTTAATAGTAAAGGCATTTACCAATCCTAGCTTAAGGTTTCCACCAGGCTCCGCCCCACACCGCCAGAAGGACACGTGCGTATATTTTGCGTGCGTTTGTTTAGTTTTCCTGTTAAGTCGAGCTGTCACCCTGACTGCACAGTAGAATCACATGACCATTTTTAAAAACATGCCCACACCCAAACCCTGTGTAGACGGAGTTCATCAGCCCTGGGCGGCAGGGGTGGACATCAGCATGTTTTACAGAGGCCGCAAGGGGTGTGCGACCAGAGCTGGGAACCACCGAAGGAGAAGAATGCCGGAGACTCTGGGAGTCCCGAACAGGCCACCGGCTCCAACAAAGGGTGTGCCCTCCCGTGTGGGGTCCCTGCGTTTTTACTCTCACCCTGGACTCTCCCCATCGGGACACCTGGTGTTCCGGAGTGGGAGACGGGATCCCGCCCTGTTACCTGAGAGGTCCCCGCGATTCCCCATGCTTCCCTCGATGTCTTGGTGCTTCTCCTGCCCGGTGCTTATTCTTTGTCTGCAAGTGCCCTCCGTGTCCTCGACTCTACTTCCCCCTTCGTCCTCTCTTTGCTGCTGCCAGCCATCCCCTCTGCCACCCTCAAGTGGCCCAGGAGCCTGAAGTCAGGGGTAAATGGGGGCATTGTGACATCAGCAGCTGCCATGCTCCCCGCCCATGACTCTTCTGCCCTTGTTCTCGTCCTCCTCAGCAAGCGCATCTGCTGCAAGGGTGCGGTCCTCAAACCCTGACGTTGGAACTACCCTTCCGGCCCCCATAGTGAACGCTACTCTGTGCTGGCACTACACGTGCTCATTCGGCATCTCTGATCCCAGAGGAGCAGGTGAGACACTTGAGTTACTTTCTCTTGAGCAAACTCTTTTTCTGCCCCACACCTGGGCAGGAACAGAGATGGATGAGACCAGCGATCGACTTCCTTACTACCAGAATCACCTAGAAAGTCTGTTAAGACCCAGTTGGCTGGGTCCCACCCCAGAGTGCTGGTTCAGTCGATCAGGAGTGGGCCCTAAGAATGTGCCTTTCTAACAAGCTCCTTTCAGCGTTCTTCTAAAACAAGATGCTCTGCGGATGGACTGGAGAGAGAACTGCTGTCACTACGAAGCTGTTCGGAATCAGCCCCCTCCCCTCCACTCCAATGACCTGTCCACATTTGCAACAGGGAGCACATGCAGCTTCCAACCTAACATGCAACCCCAACTCTGAAAAATCTCCAAGATTCAAGAAGGACTCGGCACACAGCAGACTGGGCAGTCTGGCGGTTTAATTGCCGGTGTCAGCTTGGGACAGCATCTGGAGCCAGGCTGGACTCGTATATTACAGAGTCATCACGCCCTACTAATAACTCGTCTGAAAAGTCTCTTTCAGTATCCGTTTTTCTCGACCCCCCCCCCCCCCCCACTACTCCAATCCCTGTCCGGCCAGGAATCTGAAGTCCTCTGGCCTCTCTGCAACCAAAGCAAGCGCGTCATCTTCCTCAAAATTGCCAGCAATTTCCAGTTATCTCCTCGTCTCCAGGGTTCTCTGGAATCTTGAGAGGGAGGCACACACTGGAAAAATCCCAGGCCTGGAAGGCAGGAGGTCTGTCTCTCTGTGGCAGTGTTATCACTTAGTGGAAGGAAAATGCACATCAGACTTTCCCCAACATGAGCCTACCTCTCCTTACCGCCCACAAGCAACAGCCTTGTTCAGACCCTTCCTTGTCGCTGTCCTTCTCTAAGTCATCCTCTGTCCTCTCCAGCCTCCCTTCTCTCCAGGCTCCAGGTCCTCTTCAAGTCCAGGCCCCGACTCCCTTCTGATCCTATCTCACTCTATAACTTCAGCAGGGCTGTGCCTCGAACCTCTTCTCACGCATCATGAAGGACACTCCAAATAAGGGACGGAGCTTGCGTGGCCTGGCTGTTTGGGGATGCTGTAGGCATGCATGGGCAAGGGAGGAGATGAGGTCTGAGAAGTTTTTGTCCTCTCTCCTGGCAAGTCTAGGGAAGACTGTAGTCATCTTTGTGTGCAAAGGCCAGGGGCAGCAATAAGCGTGCAGTGTAGGAGATGGCAGGTGACCTACCCACATTTCACGAGAACCAAAGATGCAACCCTTACAGCCTTCCACAGCTCGAAGTGGCTCTTTGAGCTGCTTATAGGCCTGATGCTACAGGTGACAGGGGCCAGGGCTCAGCACGGAGCCAGACCCCTGGACCAACCAGTTAAAGAACCATTCGTGAGTGACATCAGCCCCACCACCTGCCAGCACACAGCCGTGCTTCAGAGGCCACGATGCTAGTCACGTCTGTGTCTATGTTGTTCATGGCAAGACTCCCAGCCTGGCAAAGGAAATCTATAGACCGAGTTATTTTCCTCCCACAGGCTTGCCTGGCCTTTGTTCACTTTAGGGAGGTGCATTTTTGCCTCCTCTGTGGGCAGCGAATTCCCCACGAGTCAGCATGATGTGAATCTAGACTCACCCACTGGCTCCTATGGGCTGTGAGAGGGACAGACTGAGCAAGTGTGCAACACGAGCCTCTGTGCCTCCCTGGTGCTGACCAGCTCGAGATGCCTCATGGGCTCCCAAGGACTCTGAGTGCACTCACTGGCCTCGTCACTGGCACTCCTTGTGACCCACAAAAGGCAGGGGCTGAGCACGCCCCTTCCCTTTGTTCAGTACAGAGTGACTTAAGGCCCCTGGGGTTCAAAAGCTGGCTCTAGGTGTCGCCCGTGCAGGCGCCCTGTGCAGGGTACTGTTCTCAACTCTCCACACGCTGACTCCATGTTCACAATCTCTACACGGACCTAACAGGTAGGGTCTACTCTTTTAATCCCCATTTTAGAAATGAACAAACTGAGGCACAGAGATGTTAAATGAATTGCCCATCGGCACACAATTCATAAGTAGAAGAATCAGATGTGCAAACTCCAGAATGTGCGCCACTAAGAAGGGGAAACCCAGGCAGCCCTCTGCATCAATTCAACGTGAGAACCCACTCGAAACCCATGAGGGGGCTTGTCCAGACCCCCAGCTCCTGCCTCTCCTACATGCGCTCCTCTTTCCCTCCGCCATCCCCAAATCACTGGCTAAGGACTCAGACGTATCTTTTTGGCCTGCACACACAGATTTCCTATGAAAACTGAAAAGAAAATCAGGGAGAAATCAATGCTTTGGGTCAGAAGTCCATCAACTCTCCCTCGGTCCCCAAGTTGCCTTTCAGGGTGTGAAACATCAGCACACATCGCTCCTTCCTAGTGGAGCCTGCAAGGCCGGCACCTCCAGTTGACTAAGTCAAAGATGGACATCTGATCAAATCAGGCAGATAAGAACTCCCCACCATGCTCGCCCTGCCCCCTGTGCTGCCTCTCTGGCTCGTGCAGAACCAAGCTCTAAGTTACGCGTCAAAGGCCATCTTCCACAGTGGGGCACAGAACTCAAGGCTCTTGAGGAACGGGCTGGGAACGTAAATCTCCTAAACAAATGAGCTTCACTCACTAAGGCGTGGTGGGGTGACTGCCTATAGGTGCTGAATTTGAAAGTCTTAGAAACATAACAGCAGCCCCAAAATACATCTGTGTAGACCAGGTCTGAATTTGGGCTCCAGGCTGCAATCCTGCAGAAAAGCCTCCCCACCTCTCCCCTCCCCACGACCCACCCCACAGAGAACCAATCGTTGCCTTCGTTGTGCCCGTGGCCTCGATCTTGCGTCTTCTGATGCTCTTATACTGCACTACCATCATTCATGTGCCCATCAGACCACAGCTCTTTGAAAAACTAATGGCAATCACTACCAGCCTTTATTGAGGGTTTCTCAGGGGCCAGGCAATATGCCAAGAGCTTTACATCCATTATCTCACTTGGTCCTCATAGCCACCCTAGAAACCAGGGACAATTTTTTAATCCCCATTTTTCAGATGAGGAAATTGAGTCTGAGAGAGGTTGAATAATCTGCTCAAGGTCATACAGCAAGCAATGAGGTGGGATGGGCAGAGGTGGGATCTGAGCCCAGGCAGTTTGGCTCCAGAATCTGCCTGCTTGACCAGCACTTTATTTTGGAAGACAGGACTTGTGTCCTAAGCCCACTGAGAGATTCAGTGCCCAGCACTTTGGTGTAAATAAAGCAAATTACTTCAACAATACTTTATTGGGCAACCATAACACGAAAAGGTTGCTTCCCTGCTTCCACAGAGGCAATTACAGGGGCTCATTTCCATGATGTCTCCCCTGACCCACAAGTTCTTCTCAAGAAAAATGGCTCCTATGTGGATAAACCTTGAAAACATTAGGCTAAAGGAAAGAAGCCAGTCAGAAAAACTCCATATTATAATATTCCGTTTACGTGAAATGTCAAGAATAGACAAATCCATAGAGACAGAAAGTAGAGTGGTGATTGGTTAGGACCGGGGTGGGCGGGGGTGCCGTGGCTGGGAGGGTTGAGGAGGTGACAGCTAAAGGCCAGGAGTTTCTTGTTGGGGCAATGAAAATGTCCTAAAAATTGACTGTGGCGATGGTTTCACGACTCTGTTAATATACTGAAAACCACCGAATTGTATAATTTAAATTGGTGAATTATATGGATTGTGAACTATAACTCAATGAAGCTGTCTAAAACAAGAAAAATATCTACTGAATTATCTTTCCAAATATATGTCAAAGATTAGATGGGAAAGAGAATAGATGAAAGATAGTTAATCACAAATAATGATAAGTTAGATAGCTGGCTAAGTAGACCTGTATCTAGGTAGACAGGTGATAGATAGATTTAGACATGTTTCTTGTTTATTTTTTCCCTCATGTTCTCCCTTCCAAGACCAGCAACCTGAAAGAGTGGAAGATCTATTAACAAATCTTGAGAGTTACTAAGTTATTAAGAAGATGGCAAACAGCAAACACAGAGCATTGGACATTCAGCCATAGATACACACATGTACTTCCTCCACTAGCTCCCTCAGCACTTTCTTCCCAGCTCTGACGTCCCAAATCATTTGGGTTGTCTGTTACTTCTCTTAGATGTGTCTTGAAACTCCCAGCTTTGAACAGTGTCATCATGTTGGAGCTCAAGATGAATTTTACCCAGTCAACCCTCAACTTTCAACTCAGGGAAGAAGGCTGCAATATAGTGATCCAGAATAACGAGCAAACCCATAGGAATTTCTTTTATCTTTAGGAAACTTTACGTAATTTATTTTGCAAGAGCTCTACATACCTAATTCCATCTTTTACTGGCATCTATTCACATGAGTTTATGCTCCCAGAAGAAACTCTGGAGCTACATAGGGTGCTGGTGGAGTGACTGAGAGGAGAGATGGGAGAAAGAGCACATTCTCTGAATCAAGAGTCCTGGAACGCAGAGAGGAAGGGACGCTGTGTCAAGCCTACCTCAGCTGTGGACCCTTACTGACCCATCAACTATAGGCATCTACCCTTCAACAGCCCCCAGAACAAGCAGGAAGAGGGACTCAAATGCCTCATAGGGAGTTCGAGACATGAAAGCAAAATCCTGCCCCGTAGGAACTAAACAAAACCTTTTGAGGATTTCCCTCTGGGCCAATCAGTAGGGTCAGTGTGACGCTCCAGAATGCTAGCCATTCCCAGCTACATC